GGACAGGCAGTCAGTAGATGGCCGGATAGATAGATGGATGAATGAAAGTTTTCTAATAGCTTTTGATTGTCGTCCACAGATCAGCTTGGGGTTGTAATTGTGGTTGTGCAGCTTGCATTTAACCTTTTTTCTCTGGCATCCTCTCAAAAATGAACGTTGCTGAGAAATCAGAGATGGGAAAATGACATTTGTTCCACATTAAGGCTAAACGTCTGAGAAAACCACCCTGGTCTCCTGTGAATTTTCTAAGTGTTTGTTGTTATGCTTTGAAACTCTGATGCCATGGGGGCAGTCTGGTGATCATACTGGGTTTATATTGCCATCCATTTATATTCTGTAGTGCTTTTCCAGTACAGGGGCACAATGAGCTGGGGGGGGGTATTCCAGGAAGCACAAGTCAGATGGCAGTTGTCTGTCAAAAAGGAATATAATAACTGATGAACTAAGAGGCCTCCTGCATAGCCTGCTACATTATGGTATCATGAATTCATTTCAAGCAATGCCATGAATGCCTTATGTTCTTATGTTCTTATGAGATACTTGATCATTGATGTGTTACTACTTTAATGTTATAATTGTATCTGTAGATCAGTAAATTTCGGTCAGTGACATATACTAATTCTTTTTCTCCTTTTGGTTTATTTATGACTCTATGAACTGGAGACGTCTTTGTAAATGCCTGTTGGATTTCCCATCTAGTGCCTTCAGTGTGTGTCAATGCCCTTTGAAGGAATTACTTTTAATTAATTAATTTCTTCTACCAAATTGTTTTTCTGACTCAAATAAGCATGTCCAGGTCTGTCTGCATCTATTATTGTAATATCTGCAATTTTAACCTAATATGAGAACACATGTAAAGGCCCACACTCTACTAACTAAAGAGGCCTTTGCAATGACCTGTCTCATAGTTAGTTCAGTGTCTGTCATATTACAGTAACTTTTGATTTTTATTTTTTATTTTTTATTGAATAAAGCAGAAGCTCTAAACTTTCCATGGTCTGTGGTATATATCCAAAGTTAATGTTAAATTTGACATCATTTGCCTGTTGATACATGCATATGAATATTGCCGCCAACTGCACATGCCTGTGATCAAGTTCCTAGTCTTTCTGCACCTGGCATTTTTCAGCTCCACTTATTCTGATCCGTTAGGAAGGCTAAGGGGCCCCCGTACGTCTGCAGTTGTGGCACAGTCATCATGTCATCTCTGATCATGAGGGTGCACGCAGCAAAACGACTGCAGTCATTGCACTCCGGTGCGTGACAGTTCTGTGTATCTTGCTGACCGTTTAGCACATGCTATCGCTGGCCCATCTCTCCCTGACGAGCCGCTATAGGCCCTGATGTACGCTTGTGGCTTTTCTATTTTCCACCGACTCCTTCCTGAGAGGTAAGCTTTGACCATAAACAGGGTCCTGTCGTTCATCTCCATGGCGACTGCCGCGCAAGGCAGGTGGCCAGTCACATGGGTGCCGCGTTTCCAGCCATTGTCCTTAACGTTCTCTGAGACCTTCAAAGTCATTTCTCTGCATATTAAACAAATGGTGTGAGACTGAGTCGTTACGTATGCAGAGTGTCTCAGATGTCTGAGCTTAATGATAAAGTGTTTAGCTGCCGCCCGTTTTATGCTATATATTTTTATCATACATGGTATTTGCTTTATTGCACTTTCTAACAAGTGCTTAATTAAGGTAGCTAACGTACAACTAAGTGTTACAAGTTATTTAAAGGTCAGACTCGTGAGCACTTTGTTGCTGCAATCTCACCCTGGACTAACACCAGACCAGAAAGATATGATTGCATTTAAAATCCAGTAAAAACCGCAGTGCACTACCTGCTGTGGTACCGATGAATAAGGCACCCAGCTGGAGTTACATCTAGGAACTAGAAAAGCTATTTGGTGTCTTAATCCAGAGCAGTGTTTAATGCAGTGTACTAGCCTGACACAGTTCATTTCATGCCCTTTGTGTCAGCGTGGGTCTCCATGCTAGTACCTAGCAACATAATTTGGTCCATTATTTTCTTCTTTTTGTGGGCAGCTGCTACAGTTGCAAGTATGCATGATGCACTGACCTCAGGGTTGCTGATTTTTTTTTAACAGTGACTACTTCATATAATGTGAAAATTCATAAATTATACATGGGGCCATTATTAAAAGTGCGAGGAATGTGACTTTCCTTCCACAGACCGCTAACGTGAGTGAGGCTGGAGGTGTATCTGCAGTAGGTTCAGCACGCATACCTTTTGTATACCGCAGTAATTAATGTATTGGGGCAGGATTCTACAGTGTATGAAGTCCTTGGCTTTAGGGTAAATATTACACTTCAGCTTCAGCACAACACAACAATGTTTCAATCATTGATCAGAGACACATTGCATTGCGCTATTTAACTGACAGTTCTGTGTCTATAATGGATAATAATCTGAAGTAGTCCATCTTAAAACCTTCAGATCTCACATTCATGACTTTGACCTCCGTACTGCTTACCTAATGACAAACATGCAGGCCGTCAACCCATTGACGTTTGTGCTGTGCTTTGTTTGCATTGTGCAAGTTAGATCAGGGGGATATTCCACATAGCCAGATTTCTTCATTAGCCAGATAACGTAAGCCAAATGTGGGGATTGTTCAATAGGATTTTCACTTACATGGTTTCCTGTTGGACATTTTGCATATTTGGCTCAAATCATCCAGCTAACTGAGAAATCCAGGTTTGTGGAACCTACCCCTCCCCAGTATCTGAGAGGTTGTAGCAATTCTTCTATCATCAAAGGGCTAAGAGCTACATTCAAGGACACAGCGAACATGCTGGATGGGATGCCAGTCCATCACAGGCCACCTTCACTCACACGATTCATTTAGAGACACAACAATTCACCTAATCACATGTTTTGGAATGCAGGAAAAAATGGATTCCTCAGAGGATTTCCTGGAGGAAACCATTGCATGAACACAACCTCAGAGGGACGAGGCAACAGCGCATACAACTGAGACACTGCGATTCAAAATATCATGCAGTAAAATTGTTTAAGAAAAGACAGCTGGTACTGTTTTTTTGAAGATGAACTCTCTTTTGTTAGTCTTCTCTAACTTTCAGAGGCTGTGGGAACACAGTAATCACATGTCACAGTATTCTTAGATACACACATACTCCAATTAAGTAGGTGGTCCTCCTTTTTCTTCAGATGTTTGCCTTTGGCTCTCTTGAGTTGACTCATCTGCCTTCCTCCCCCCCATTCCCACCCCCTCGTTCCCTCCCTCTCAAGCTCTCAACATCTGTGGAATCTCACATACTGCCTTTGACTAAGTGATCCCAACCCCAGCGTCTCTTCCCCCCCCCGCCCCCTTTTTTTTTTATAGGTAATTGCATTAATCAATAAGAGGACGAGCTACAGCTCACGAGGATGTCTGGTCCTGTTCCTTAGAGAACTGGATTAATTGGTAATGTTGTCCATGAGGTAGCTTCCATGTTGTAATATATCTGATTAGCAGTTCTGAGCGGAAGGTCAGCTCTTTTCTCCTCACTCCTAGGCAGTTATGGCTTTGGTTGGGAAATTTTGAGTAATGGTACTTTATTTCTTTTTGAGTTGACTCCTTTCTCCTCCACATGTAGGCCTCCCATGTGGGCCTGTGGTAAATGCGGTTGGATTTGCTGCGGTGTGTCTCCTGTAGATATTGCTGCCTCCTCTGGGCTGCCAGTGCCAACAGGATCCGTGGCACTAAAACCGTCTCTCTCTGCTGTCTAAACACCCCAAGTGCCTGATACAGGCTGTCTCCAAGAATGCAATTTTTCCCCCCAATCCCTTTTCTGCTGAGTATATTTTCCGTAAAAACCTCAGAATTCATTTGCATATATCTTTGCTTTTTTTGTGAGTTGATTGTCCCTGACTGCATTTTGACAGCATCTTGGTAGATATTGAAATTATACACCTTTTGTGAATGTATAAGGTAATAATGGGCATTGCGTATCTCACTCCTGGGGCGGATAACACCTGGTAATAAAGCATATACCTTCAGGCTGCAAAAAAGTGTGTCTTGCTCAGGTGACGTAACCCTGCTTTCAGTATGCATTCTCCTTGCTTCTGGTATTTCACTGCCTCAGGACAGGGAATTGAAACATCGTGTCCACTTAGAACAATAACAGCGCAGAACTCACAGAATCGTCTTTGCTTGTACTATATTTTGTACATTGCCCACCGTGCAGTTGGAGAGATGGCAACATGGACGTTGAATAGGGGCGCGGTTTTGTGCCCTAGAAGAACGAACACACACAACAGTAAACACACAACGAAGACTTTGCAGCTTTGTGAGACCTGAAAATGGAGTGCTGGAATCTGCAGGCTTTCTGTCTGCTGTCATCAGGTTCAGACATGCAGATGCTCCTTCACCCTTCATCTGACATCCCCGCTACACATTCCTTCCATGCCAAATCTGATTTGTAGTCACATGACTCCCTGAGGAAAGAGCAGGCATGCGGGAATGAGGTGGTGTGTGGGTGAGATGAGGCAGATCTGAAGGCAGTAAATTGTTTCTTTTATCCGTTTTCTACATCTCACCTTACGGAGTGTCAGATTTGTTGTCTTTCTTCTTCTCAGTCTTCTTTCTTGCTCTTGGTTTATAACAGCCGGCCATTATTGTCAGCAAAACCCTCTTGTTGTGTTATCAGTTACACACATGTGCAAAACAACAAAGAAAAGTAGATAAACACAAAGACACTCTGTTCTCTGACACCGGCATATGGTGGCCTGCTATGTCATAACTGATCGGCCTTCTGAGCGCAAAATTTGCCAGTGTTCCTTTGTTCCCTTTTCCTGTGTTAGCGATTGATGCAACTTTTTACAAATGTTGCCCTACCACTCAAGTTATGATCTTTGTGTTCATCTTGTCACTGTTTGCCAGGATATTTGAAATATTGCGCCTCCCAAGCTTTGGTCTGTGGTGGGTTTTTACCTTCATTGTGTTAATTGTGACCGAAACAGGCTATGTTCTAATTCTCCAGGCTTCTGACCGGTGCACCGAAGGAGAAAGCCCTACCACAGCTAAAGGTCAATGAGACAGGCGCTGTTTATTCCTGTCCCATCACCACGGAAACCTCTGACTGCACGAGGATGGATCTGGTCAGCTCAGGTAGGCAACCTCTCTCATTTCTTTCCCACATGTCCTCTGTTAGGTAAGAATGTATTAGGAAGCCAAAATGGACCTACTAAAGTATAATCCAAAAGTAATGTATAATCTGCAATTTTCTAAACTTTATTTTTTGATATTATGTAGTTTGGTAGTTCTATAAACTCGAGTTGTAATTGCATACTTTTTCATAAAATTTTACAGCATAAAATAGTAAGTGTCTGTACTGAGGTTTTGTATATTTGCTAATTTGGTTTCAGGAAGCTAAGTAATATATTTAACAATGTAGTAAAGGTGATATAATACATTTACCATTTACCATATACTACAATAGATTTATGACCCTGCTAAACTGGATCAATCTGTATCTGCTAACTTTTGTAATTGTCTTGGCTGTATGAGGTCCATAGCTGTCAAGTCTCCCGTTTTGGCCGGGAAACTACCGTATTTTACCCCTCTTTCCCGTAAATCTCCCGTATTATAATATCATTAAAAAAAATCCTCTGCCTCTCCAAACTGAACTGCCAGTAGCCTCGCGAGAACTGCCACCTGCAGTAGCCTGCAGGTCATTTACAACATTAACCAGGTCATAAATGCGGAGGTTAAAATGGCAATGCTGTTTGCGGACAAACAACGTCACTTTCACCTTCTGTGACGACTTCAACAAGGATACAAAGTCTGCAACAAATAAGTCATTAGTGAATGTCAGAGAGCCACATGAGTGAACATGAGAAATTAAAAGAAAATGTGTAATGAAAATAAAATGTAAATGACAAGTGGTTATTTTAGATTTCTTGTACACCTGTCTTAAAATGTAAGGGATACTGGAGCTTGGTTGGGGTGGTGGAATGGCTCGCGGTGGGTGCCGGAAAATTTCCCTTATTTTCAAATCCAAAACTTGACAGGTATGATGAGGTCAGTGATATGCTGTGCAGTAAGGCTGTGAAAGATGAAGTGGTCATGGGTTGTGAATGCCAGTACGCACTCTACACAGAGACATTATCCTCATAGCTAGTCACTGGATCAGGAGCACTGCGACACATTTACAGTGCTGTCCTGGAGGGTCTCCACTTCCCAGGCTGTACTCTGCTGCTTCCCGGGTCTTGCACTAATACGTTTTCCTGTTCTAGCTTCTTAAGGACGTCATCAGAAACCCATTTGCTCTGACACCGAGAGCTTACAAGTCAAAGATGCAGAATTGTCACCCTTCTCCATTTTATGAGCTAATATGTGCTCTTTGTATTTGTTTAAAGTCTCTTATATGTCTTATTGATTCTTCCATATTTCTGCTGTTAGCATTATTTCCACAGAAATCAAAGTCACAAGTGTCACTATTTTTCCAAAGCTTTATGATTGAACAAGATGTTATTACTGTTGACCGTCAAAGTGCAACATTGCTGGATGTGCATGGAAACCAATTCCAAACATATGAATAACTTACTTCTAACACAGCATGAGAACAATGTGACTAAGGTTCAACAGGTACAGCATTGCTAGGATGGTAAGGGCAGTTTAAGTTTTTCTGAGTCCATAGTGTTTTGTGTGCAGATGCTCTTATTAAAAACAACCCTCTGGTCACTGCTCATGCAGCCAGGGACTCCAGTGTATACAGCAGTGTAAACATTTTTTCTTCAGAAACATGGTGTCTGGTTTGTTCAAGGAAATCAACCCATCTGGTGAAATGATCAGAAACATCAGAACTCTCTCATAACTGTGATTCACGGAAACGGAAATGAGCTCAAGCCTGGCGCCTCTGCACAGGCTCACGGGTGTCGCTGTTCGCTGAGGGTGTCGCCACAATGGGGTCATTCTGTGGTTCGTCTCTCAGCCCCGTGTCTCTCTCCTTACTCTGATCAGTAACACCAACATGCCGTCTGGACCTTCTGGTGTCTGACACCATCTTTCAGTAAGTGCTGCTCCTCAGGTGCAGATCAGCAGCCTGCTGATTTCCCTATAAACTCCATCCATTTGATAACGTAGCTTCACTTTGTGTTGGTGGTGCTGATGCTATCATGATGGATCGACCCCCACTGGCCATGTGAATTTCTCTGTCCTGTACAGTTAGAAGCCATTGCTTTCGATTGTTTTTATGACAGCTATTCATATGTTTGGAATTGGTTTCCATGCACATACAGCAATGTTGCAATTTGACGGCCAACAGTAATAACATCTTGTTCAATCATAAAGATTCACTCACTCTCCCCACCCCGAGCAATATTGGGGGCAGTGGCTCTTGGCTTTGTGTCATTGATATAATTTGGCCCCTGGGGAGCAAATATTGGGGAACCCTGCTTCAGGTTAAGCTGGCATCTGGGAGGCATCATGATGGAGACAGAGGCGACAAACCTCACCAGTCATCTGTCAGAGAGACACTTTAAAGGCTCACCATTACATAAACATTAAAAACAATAACATCTGTGCTTTGGAACTGCATGAACAAACAATCAAAAAATCAATAATGAAAGATTTGAATGTGCAGAAAAATAAGACCGTGGTTCAAATAGTCATTGAGCAAAGCAAAGTATCCAGGCTCTTCGAGAGAATTTGTCTTCCTCTGTGTTCATCTGGGTTTGCCCTGGGTACCAGTTTGCTGCTGCGATCTAGAACCATGCAGTTCGGTGAACTAGTAACTAATAAATAATGCTTAGTGTGTGCCCGGTTCTTGTTTAGGCACTTGTGGAACATTGATACACGGCATGTGTGTAAACATTTTGCTTCCTCATTCTGTTTGACTATTTTTAGCTAGCTCCTTGGAGATGGTGGAAGGCATGTGGCTCGGCGTGGCCATAGCCAGCCAGAGCGCGGAGGCAGGGGGCCACGTGTTGGTCAGTATCCCTGCTCTCTGCGCGTGCATCCTTAGCCACAGAGCCGCTCCCTCATGCTCCGTCTGCTGACACTTTGTTTGGATAGCCTGCCTACAGAGGGTTAACCGTCTTTGTAATACCTTCTTAATACATTGTCATGCGATACTTTACACTGGATTATGAATTCTGACCTATAGTCCATTATAGATGAGAGCTTTTATGCATTTATAATGCGTAATAAACATGATATAATATGATATGCCTTTTATAAATATTTATAGCCATGTTCTTAATGCTTTATGAATGCATTATAATGCATTATGAATATGTTCATACATTCTTTTAGACTTGGCATTCATAAAAATTATAACCAAAATGTCTAATATATGAATGAATGTGCACCTTCAGTTATTATACTGTGTAAAATGACTAAAAGTTACATTGTACTTGCGTTTCCCTGTAATTTCCATCAGATTATTGTAGCACTGATGAAAAGCATCATATGTTTTTATGTGACAGGAAATAACTGGGTAAGCACATGTCTGGTGATGATTTTCGCAGGCCTGTGGTCACCGCTATGTCAGCCTGCTAAAGGGAGCCTCAGACCAGTTCCGTATGATTGGCAAGTGCTACGTGCGGGGAAACGACTTGACCTTTGACCCCAATGACGAGTGGCAGTCCTACAGTTACGAGGGCTGCAACCCCAACTTTTACATGGAGGAGGAGGGCTTGTGCAATATGGGCATCTCAGCCGGCATATCGACGACGGACGTCTTCACAGGGTCTCCAGGCAGCTATTTCTGGCAAGGTGGCGCAGATTGACATGGCGAGTGGTGCTTCATCTCGTGCTGCTTCATGGAGCCCTGGATCCAAATGTTTGTTGTCTTTTTTCTTTCCACCGTCAGGCAACGTCCATGTCACATGGAGGGATCCTACTCCTGGAAACTCCTGGGATTACATTAGCAAAAATATGGACAAAATGGGCAAGCACTACAGCTACATAGGTAGGGTGATACCGTCTACTGTACAGTATGTTAATGCAGTGTATCACATACGTCATGATTCACGCTTTTTCATAAGGGCTGTGCTGTTGGCTGCAGATCAAGACTCCTTCCTTGGAAGTTTTGCAATTAGTAAATTCTGATAGCAGGAATGAAAGATATTTTTATTAAATTTCTCTTAAGTGTTTGTTCCATGGGGGTGGCTTGGTGGTGCAGTGGTTAGCACTGTTGACTCACACCCCTGGGACTGGGGTTCTCTGCCAGGGTTCTATGTGTGTGACCTAAGACCTAACAAAGTATACCACCCACAGAATTATTGTTATTAAAATGGTAGTTGGAGTTCTGCTGTTTTCCAGCTTCTTGGACTAGTACCATAAGAATTGTAGTGTTTTGCTGTGTATTTTGTTGTCTTGAACAGTCACTGTGCATTTATTTGAGTGTTGTACGGTCACAGTGTAATTGTGCTTTTTTTAATCCACTTATAGAGTTTTAACACAATCACACACTGTATTGCTATGTATTGGAATGCTTTTCCACCTGTCCTCTGAGTTGTGCTGAAAGAAATACCATACAAAGGAAAGCAAAATACACTATATCAACAAAAGTATTGGACCCACCTCTTAATCATTGAATTAAGGTGTTTCATTTAGACCCATTGCCACAGGTGTATAAAATCAAGCACCTACAGTAGCCATGTAGTCAGGGTCATTCTGAAGAGCTCAGTGAATTCAAGCATGGTGCTGTTATAGAATGCCACCTTTGCAATAAGTCAGTTTGTGAAATTTCTTCCCTGATAGATATTCCATAGTTAACTGTAAATGGTATTATATAAAAGTCACCAATACTCTGCTAACTCAATCACAGAGTTTCAAGCTTACTCTGACATTAACCCCAACACAAAAACTGTGTACATCACTGCTTCATGGAATGGGCTTCCATGGTTGAGTAGCTGCATGCAAACGTCACATAACCAAGAGCAATGCTCAGTGTCAGATGGAGTGGGATAAAGCACGCCACCACTGGACTCTGGAGTAGTGGAAACGTGTTTTGTGGAGCGAAAGTGTTGTGTGTGTTGTAGTCACATTGTGTTGTGTTGTATTTTTCTTGTTTAGTCAGTGTATGTGGATTTGCATGTGTCATACAGTCACACCAAGTGACATCTATTGCCTGTCACAGGTTATTCTGTGCTGGAGGGGCAGAAGGTGCTCAGCAAGGATAGCTACACAGTGGTGACGGGGGCTCCCCGCTACGAACACAAGGGCTCTGTCTTACTGGTATTGAATGGTAATAATAAGCTCACTGTTAAGCATGTCCTGAATGGAGAGCAGGTGGGCTCCTACTTCGGAAACAGTATCGCCATCGCCGATCTCAATAACGACGAGTAAGTATGTGTATGTGTCTCTCCGTTATGCACTGGGCCTTGTGCTGTGATATTCCTGAGGGCGTCACAAAATCAAAAGAACAACAACATAAAAATTGATCCTGAATGATTTGTGCTGCTGGGGTTGTCCTGCTTCCTGTTTCCTGTGTTGGAGACTCTTCAGGTGTTCATAGTTTGAACTGTGGTGAAGCATATTTTTCTCACCATCAGCTAGATAGCTAAACGAATGCAGAAAACCAATGAAAAGTACATGTCTTATACTATTCATCTTCAGAGCTCAGCAGGATGACCCAGATTAAACCCAACAAAGTGACCAGCCTGGCTGGATTTATGATGATTTTCTTACCAAATACATCAGTAGGCATTAGGCTTATCAGTTGTCATGGTAATGCAAGAAATCACCCAGACCTAGTGCTGTGCCCTTGCTCTACCTCAAGCCCCTTGAAAAACAAAGCATGCCATTACGTAATAATCTTTTTTCTCTGTTTATTTAAACTAGGGAGTGTCTTTATTTTTTAAAAATAAGTTGTTCTCATCAAATGCACTGTAACAAATCCATTTGCGTTTCAAACCTGGTAGAGACCAAGAGAAATGAGTTGTCTGTTATACTCATAACTAACTAAAAATACTTACAGTACAAAGCTTACAGTTATCTGCCTTGATTCTGGACTGGATGAAAGATGCTTTGCTGCTAATTGCTATCTGTAGCCTTCTCTTAAATGTCACTCCGGGATTTAAGAACAGGTGTACACAGGTGACACACAAACAGACCAGAAATGCATAACAAGCAAAACACGAGTGTCTTTCAGTCACAAACACCTGTGTTTAACCAGAATTTGCTTACAGTGGGTTTAAGCATTAATAACTTCAATACTCAAAAATGTGACACAAAATAAAAAATGTACCATGAATGTAATCGATCGTAAAGTACCATCACTGCCACAAATGAACTAAAATAGAAACTCAATGAAACACCGGTGTACCTCTGTCTTTATGTGTTCTGCAACACAGTTGGAACGATTTGATCGTGGGGGCCCCGTTTTACTTTGACCGCAAGAAGGAGGAGGGCGGGGCGGTCTATGTCTACATGAACGAGAACGGCTCCTTCCAGGAGACGGCTAGCATTGTGCTGTGTGGACCTGCGGGTTCAGGATTCGGCATGGCCGTCGCCGCCATTGGGGACATCAACCAGGACGGCTTCCCAGGTAATGGCACGGCCGACGTCAGAAAAGAACGTAAACAAACCCAGAAACACTGACTTGAGAGATGCCAAAGGCTGATTAAATCTGTCAGGATGGTGATAATTGAACAGGCACAAATGCATATGTCTTTGTGTACCCACACTCTGCACTTACAGCTATCATGTGTCTCTACCCATCATGCATACTGCTTTTTCCGTATAAGGTCCTCGTCTTTTGTGTAGTTTTACAATTTTGTTGATCTCATCAGGTTTTATATTGGGAAAGAACATAACAATAAGAAAGTGACTGATGACATCATTACTTTCTCCCCTCGTTACTACATACTAATCTGTATTAATATCTACATTCTTGATTGTAAAGTTGTATTAATGGACATGTAGATGGCTCATAATGAGCGGCATCTGGCACCTTTCCCTCCTGCAGCCCTTGTTGTTTCACTGCTAATGAAACTCCCACAAGTCAGGCTGTGGGCTAATTCCATCACTCCCCTGCCTTTTACTGTATCACCAGCAGTACTCTTCTGCCACCCAGTGGCACCATGCAGAACCATGCAGTGTATGGACCATGTTTACATTTAATGAGTAGTTTCAAAAGCCTAAGCTTTGTTCAGCTGGTTTCTCAGCTGCGGTATCACATATGGCTTCTCTTTAGAAATCTGCAGCAGCTGAAATTGCATTTGATGGTTCCTTTCAATTCATTTCAATCCACCAACACAAAAATTCAATTGGTCAATTCACTTTACACAAGTGCACAATGAAGGGAAAGGTTTTTACATGTGGTCACGGTGCTGCGTATTACAGCGTGTGACAGTGCAACCTTTTACTGTGCAGAAGTGTACGGGGAGCAGGAGGGGAAAGCATAAGGTGTGACGTGATTCAGAAAGAGAGACTTAGAGAGGTATAATGTAAAAGAACAAAAGAGTAAGACAACAGTGCGAGTCAGTGATTGGCTGGGATGGACAAGCTGGAATTCAGGTGTTGAGATACACGAAGGGAAGGTAAGCTGTAGTCCTGTGTGGGTTAGGGGGGTGTTCGAGTGGGAGGGGGCTGTTTGGATATCTGGTGCTCATGCCCTGAATATTTCAGTACGACTTGCCAGACGGCAATGGAACAAGAAGTGTGGCTTTGGTAGGTACCGCCTCTGACAGGGCTGGAAGCTTGTCTCTCACACACTCAATGTAATGTCTTACATCCAAATGATGCGCTGATGGACAGCCAGGTTTCCAAAAAGATAATCAAGTTATGATTTTTAATATTACTAAAACGAGAGTCTACTATGATGGGTTGTTGTGTCTGTCATTGTAAATCCGTTGTTTTGGTGGATGGAGTTTCTTAATGAACAATCATATTTTCCAGAGGGTTTTTGCTGGTTACAGGTCATAATACTGGCAATGTTAAATTTGAAAAAATAAAATTTTATATGATAGGGGGGAAGCGCAGTGGTTAGCGCTGCTGTCTCAGAATCAGAATCGAGTTTATTGCCAAGTACGTTCACACATACAAAGAATTTGCTTTGGTGGTTGATGCCAAACTTCAAGAGATGAGGTGGTTAATATATAAATAGAGTATGTACAGGTACTAATATAAATAGTTAGTGTATGTGGAATATGATACAGCAGTGGAAATATATACATATTTAGGAGTGTGCATGCTTGTGCTAGGATGGGGAAATAGTATTTGAGTGAGTGTTCCTGGCCTTATTGATGAGGCGGGCCATGGTGGGGAAGAAACTGTCCCTATGGCGTGATGTTCTGGTCCCAATGGACTGCAACCTTCTGCCAGAGGGGAGAGTCTGAAGGAGTTTGTGACCAGGGTGAGAGGAATCAGCCATAATCCTTCCTGCTCTTTTCAAAGACCTGGACTCGTACAGGTCCTGTAAAGATGGAAGGTTGCAGTCGATCGTCTTCCCAGCAGAGTGGATGATGCGCTGTAGTCTGCTCGTGTCCTTGGAGTGGCAGCAGGGTACCAGACGATGATGGAGGTGGTGAGGATGGACTCAATGATGGCAGTGTAGAAGTGCACCATCATAGTCTTTGGCAGACTGAACTTCTTCAGCTGCCTCAGGAAAAACATTCTCTGTTGAGCTTTTTTGGTGAGAGAACAGATGTTCATCTCCCACTTAAGGTCCTTGCTGATCGTGGTGCCCAGGAAGCGGAAGTACTCCACAGCAGTGACTGGTGAGCCGAGCAGGAAGACGGGTAGAGGTGGGGCAGAGCTTTTCCTGAAGTCCACAGTCATCTCCACTGTCTTCAGGGCGTTGAGCTCAAGGTTATTCCCATTGCACCAGGACACCAGGTGATCAATCTCCTGTCTATAGGCAGACTCGTCCCCATCAGAGATGAGTCTGATGAGGGTGGTGTCATCTGCAAATTTCAGGAGCTTGACAGACGGGTGGGTGGAGGTGCAGCTGTTTGTGTCGAGGGAGAATAGGAGGGGAGAAAGGACGCAGCCTTGCGGCGATCCGGTGCTGATGGTCTGGGAGATAGAAATATGCTTCCCCCATCTTCACATGTTGCTTCCTGTTGGTCAGGAAGTCTGTGATCCATCTGCAGTTGGAGTCGGGTACATGAAGGTAGGAGAGCTTGTCGTGCAGGAGGGTTGGGATGATGGTGTTGAAGGCGGAGCTAAAATCCACGAAAAGGATTCTTACGTATGTTCTGGGGAGTCGACGTGTTGGAGGATGAAGTGCAGGGCCATGTTGACAGCATCGTCTACAGATCTGTTGGCTCGCAGCAAGAAGGCCCTGGGTTCAGTCCCGGGTCCTTTCTGCTCTCCCCGCTTTCACCAGGGGCTCCGGTTTCCTCCCAAGGGCCAAAATCATGCAGGATAGGCTGATTGGTGAGTCTAAATAGGCCCTGTAGTTGTGTGAGTGTGTGCGCCCTGCGGTATGTTGGCGACTGCCCAGGGTTGGTTCCCTCCTGCTCCCATTGTTCCCGGGATAGGCTCTGGTCCCCACCATGACCCCAGTTGGGATTGAGTTCGTTTCAGAAAATAGATGGATGGATGTTATATAATAGCATGAAAATGCAGTGAGAGTACTTGTGTGAAGGTTCCCAGCTTGATCAGTGCCATTTTAGAGCATGCATGTAAAAGCCTTTGAATGTGGCGTATGGGTGTGAGCGAGGACCCAGTGATGACCCGTACCGCTCCCTTGCAAGACACTGACGCTTGTGTTCTGCTTCACTCAGACTTCGCGGTGGGTGCCCCTTTCTACGATACTGGCAGGGTCTACATCTGGATGGGAAGTAAGCAGCTCATCTCCCAGAAGCCCAGTCAGGTGCCACCACCTACAGTTCTTACAATCGACCTTCTCGGTTCATAACGCTATCTCAAAACGACTTTGAGATACTTTAGCAGACTTTATTCTTTTTATAGAAAAAAGTAATTTAACATATGCCCTGGCTGTTTAACTTTCTGATGTTCATCCATTGGTCTTTCTTAACCATTTATTCAGTACTGGGGCCTAGCGAGCCTGAAGCTAACCCAGGAAGCACAAGGCATGAAACATGGGATGATGGAACTCATTTATGAAATTCTTGTCATTTCCTGTCAACTTTATAGGTGATCGCTGGAAGTGATCTCACCAATGGTGGTTTCCAGACCTTTGGATACTCCATCAGTGGTGGCATGGACATGGATGAGAACAGCTACCCTGATGTGTTGGTGGGCTCTCTTGACGACCGCGTCGCTTTGCTGAGGTGGGTTTTTTTAAAATTTTTTTTATTTTTTAAAAAAGTAGTTCAGACAGAAAGCCAAGAAATATGACAATAAGTTTGTTGCTATGTAAACCATTTGTGGGAATCCCTTGAGAAAAGTACTGAATGCAACAGCATCTTTCTTGTTCCCATGTTGCTGTTAAAACAACAGATTTCGGTGGATTTAAAAGGGCCCAGCCTCATGATGAAAAAGAGGGATTAAAGGAATAATTACCGTATATGCAAGATGTGGGGGGGCATGGATATTTCGAGGGGAAGGTCTCAGCAGACAGCCATCTCTACTCATATATTATAGACTGTTGAAGTGAGCTGCTTAGCATGAGAATGAGTGCTGGAGCAGTGGTTCAGCTTCTGGGGGATTCATGCTTGGTACATTTACACAATAACATGCACAAAGGAGTGTGGTTCTCCTCCAGTATATCACGGCTGTGATTTGGTCGTAGGCACGAGGCCGCAGGCTTCAAGTATGTTATCGCTTTTATATTACAGTTCATCGAGTAGTATTTACAAGTCAACAGTAATAAGCGACAACAGATAACTATTTTAACAGTTAAGGGTCTCTGCAAAAAAAAATTGTTCCCACCAGCCAACTGTTTACTGCTGCCAAGCAACACAAACATTCCAATGCAACGCAGCTCACTCTCTCCCAACTACTTTGCGCCATTTTAATTTATTAGTACGTTCCCATTAACAGTTTTTAGATGCACCTGTAAAGCGGAGTGATACATCTGATGTGAAATGTCTGAGTGCAGGCACTCATAGAATGCCTCTTGTCCAATCGGATTTCTTGGTTGGAACTAACTGTTGTATAATTCTGATTATAGATCAAAATGACCATTTATTTTTAATGTTTAATAATATTTAATAATTTAACACATTGTTCCTGATGTAATAAATGTCCATATAGTGTAAAAGCATATTTCCGTTGTCATGTTGCCCATCAATAAAGGGACAGTTATACCGTCAGTCTCTGTTGCTAAAATGTCCTGGATGTATCACTGTACTGTAACCATTCTGCTCCTCTTAGGGCGCGGCCGGTCATTCACCTTGATAAAACATTCACGGTGCAACCCTCCACCATCAACACCACCATGTGCTCCCCTGGTGAGCAATCCTGGTGAGAAAGATCTAACAGTGAATCAGACCCAACATGCAGACAGCCATTAATGAACTGCTCTTAGTCCTAAACCAGAATCAGTAGAATCCGTAGTGAGTAGCCAGTGCATACCAATGCAACTCCTGGATCATTTGGATCTTTGGAGCAATTTGCCTTTAAATTTAGGGTCTTAAATAAGGTAAAGAACAAAACATAATTGCAAAAGAGCAGCACGTCAGTGTAAAGGGGCACATTTACACAGGAATGTGCTATTTTCCTGGGAATCATTTAACCTGACAATGGGAAACATTAACAAGCATTTTTTCAGTCGTCTACATTAGGAACTGACAACGCGATGCTATAGATATTCAAAATGCCAGGTACATACAGTATATTCAGCATTTTAAGGTGATATTCTTTGAGATTATTAATGTGATTTTTTTCCCCAGTGTGACTGCACAGGTATGCTTCTCATACACTCTCAGCACTGGCAATGAAGACTTCAAGAGAAACATCAGTGAGTGGCACTTATATGAAGATTTCCGATTTCTGCTGCATTTGCAAATGCTGTTTCAAACTCTGGGCTCCTCCCCAATCTCTGCAGCGGTGAAGTACACAGTGATGGCAGACTGGGGGCGCCGCAGCACCCGTCTCCGCTTCCTGGACAACAAACAGGACAGCTTCACTGGCTATCTCTCCATGCCATCCACCAAGTGCCAGGTCCTGAAACTCAGCCTGGTGGTAAGAATTTATTTCAATGCTGTTTCCCAAAGCCTGTGGAGCTAAACAGGCTAGTAGCCTGACCTGAAAGCTTGTGGGAGTTTTACTTACAAAAATGTTGTGAGGGCAGAACGAAGAATGATTGGTTCAGAAAGATAACCAATCAGATTGTAGAGGAGGTGGGTTCAAACAATGAGAGGAGGCGGGACCAATACATCTGATTGGTTGGTCCCACCTCCTCTGGTTGCTTGGACAGCTTGGATGGCATGATAGTTTATCACAGGGGTCCCTAACACACATACAGAGGCATTGCATATACAATTTAGACATTGATTTCTAAACCACATGTTTTTGGACTGTGAGAGGAACCCTGGAGAAATTCTACTCTGTGTTAACATGCACAGGCAGGAATCGAACCCAAAATCCAGGATGTGTGAGGCCACAGTTATAACCACTGAACCCCCATACTACTCGGTGATCAAACTTTTTCACGATTTTCCTGCTTTAAATAAATGACTGACATTTTCAGCCCTTTCTTTGGGATGGTCTCCATTGATATTGATGATGGACAAGCTGCTGGTGATAGAGACACTAAGGAAATGACTTTCTCTAATATGAGCCGGGTCCTCTCCTCCTCTCTGCAGGACCACATTCGGGATAAGCTCGCTCCTGTTGTGTTCTTGCTCAACGTGAGCCTTCACGAACCGGTTCCCAGAGTCCGCAAGAGTCTTCAAAACCTTGACGCCTTCCCAGTGTTTAGTGACAAGCAGAGTCTCTTGGGGAAAGCCCAGGTATGTTGAACGACCCTTTCAATGGCTCTTACTTGGACCCCAACATGGAAATATGGCATTTCAGTAACTTAATGACTGACCCAGTACATCTGGAGTGTTTCTGGTTGGATTTAAATTGTATTAAAAAAAACTCTGCCTGCTATTCTTATGCTGTTTCTGTCATTATAGTTTTTCTTTGCTTAAATACCGTCAAGATTCAATCGCATACTTTCACAGATTCTCCTTGGCATGATGACTTCTACTTGCTGAAGTTTTTCATATTGTGTCTGGTTTAGCATTTTCCGTGTCCCCTTCCAGATTAATTTCCAGAAAGCTTGCGGTACAGACGACAAGTGCACAAGCAACCTGCAGCTGATGGCGGAGTTTGCTGATGAGCACCACAAGCCGTATCCCAGGTGAGTCATTTTCTCTGCCAACGTAGGGAAGTATTAAAAAGTGCCTGTAGAGGTGCATGCAGTGGAACTAATGAAGTCACGCTTGACATTTTAATGCCTTGCTGCAGCCAGGGGGGAGTACAGGTGATGCAGTACAACACAACCGTGAAGAAGGTGATCCTAATGGTGAATGTGACCAATAAGCCAGCCCCTGGGAAACTGGCTGAAGACGCCCACCAGGCCATGTTAAACATTACTGTCCCATCATCTCTGCGCTATTCTGCAATCCGCCTCACGGTAGGTG